TGTTGTTAGCCGCCCAGAGTGGTAGAATATACCAGATGGGCGGGATATAAATAAAGAAATAAATAAATAAATAAATAAATAAATAAGTGTAGAACTTTTTTAATTTTATGGAGTGCATAGTTTGGCAAAATGTATATTTTTGCATGCTTTTTAGATATTAGGCTTTATAGCTTTCGTATCGTAGTCTAGAAAAGCGTAATTGTATCTGTTTCTTTGACAGGTGTCACAGCTGATGACTATATGATGAAAGTTGAGACTGTGCTCTGCTCTGCATGCAGTGTATATGTTCCTGCATTACACAGTTCTGTTCAGCAGCACTTAAAGTCTCTTGAACATGCAAAAGGAAAACAGGTTGGTACAACTTGGCTGTTTGGTTAATTTTGTTTAGGGTGTGTATAACTATAGAAGCTGTGAGGATCATGTACTGTGTATCCTGGCCATTCATAGGGTTTATATTGTTTGCTGTGGACATGAGTGGGTAACATGGCAGTTTCTGCTCAGGTCATCACTATGGCGTACAAAGCAAAATAAAAAGTAGAGAAGTAAACTAAAGATTAGGATATACCATCTGTACAAGAAGAGAGGGGAGAGTGGCTCATAAAACAAACAGTTGCTTAATAGTTGTGACTAGAAGTGGAATTGGCTCACTGCAGGAGTATTCAGTTGTCACCTCTTGGGAAACACTAATCACTCTTAGGGAGGAATGCCTAGTCCCTGTTTCTCCATTATCACTCTGCACATAGAGAACAACACGTCTGCAGCAGAAACAGTCCTAGCTCAAATGTATGCTCTACATGCAAGCCAGGACCCCAGTTCTCCAGGGCTCTTGCTCACATGAAGAACTACACGCAAGTCAGATTGTGCTGCAAGTGTGCCACTTCCCATGTGTAGCCAGCATGATAGAATATTGCATAGGATTCATTATATTTATTCATTTGATTTTACACACACTATAGAGTGAAACAGCTGCTGATAGATTCCCAAGCCACATTAATTACTTGAGCAGTTTCACCCAGGTGTCAGTAGTTGCTTGGACAGTTTGATTTATTCATAATCATCCCCATGAAATCTTCTTGACCATCACATTACTATAATGTCTACATCCATACCATGATCCTAACACTATGTTGTGGATGGGTGTAAAAGTAATGTTAGTATTATTTGCAGCCTTACCTTTCTTCCTCCTCTTAATTACATTTTTTTGCTTAGCTGGCTTATTTTATCCAAACAACTGAAAATCAGAAGCATGTACGATTTAAGCCCAGCAACCATTTATGTAGAGAGAAACTTTGGTAACTTATGACGTTTTTGAATGGGTAATGCCAAAAACTAGAAACCAAATTGCTAACATGAGCTAACATGCGCTGGATTATGGAGAAAGCCAGAGAGTTCCAGAAAAACATCTACTTCTGCTTCATTGACTATGCAAAAGCCTTTGATTGTGTGGACCACAGCAAACTATGGCAAGTCCTTAAAGAAATGGGAATGCCTCACCACCTTATCTCCTGAGAAATCTATATGTAGGATAGGAAGCAACAGTTAGAACTGGACATGGAACAACTGATTGGTTCAAAATTGGGAAAGGAGTACCACGAGGCTGTATGTTGTCCCACTGCTTATTTAACTTGTATGCAGAATACATCATGCGAAAGGCAGAACTGGATGAATCCCAAGCCGGAATTAAGATTGCCAGAAGAAACATCAACAGCCTCCGATATGCAGATGATACCACTCTGATGGCAGAAAGTGAGGAGGACTTAAAGAACCTCTTAATGAGGGTGAAAGAGGAGAGTGCAAAAAATGGTCTGAAGCTCAGCATCAAACAACTAAGATCATGGCCACTGGTTGCATGACCTCCTGGGAAATAGAAGGGGAAGATATGGAGGCAGTGACAGATTTTACTTTCTTGGGCTCCATGATCGCTGTAGATGGTGACAGCAGCTATGAAATTAAATAACGCCTGCTTCTTGGGAAGAAAGCGATGACAAACCTAGGCAGCATCTTAAAAAGCAGAGACATCACCTTGCCGACAAAGGTCCGCATAGTCAAAGCTATGGTTTTCCCTGTAGTGATGTATGGAAGTGAGAGCTAGACCATAAAGAAAGCTGACCGCCAAAGAATTGATGCTTTTGAA